GTGTGTGTAGGAAGCACAGTTCTTCTGTTCTGAGCATCTGACTCTTCTGGCTCTATAGGAAACACAGTAGAGTAGAAGAGTGCTGCTTTCTCAAAAGCAGAGTGTGTTTCTTGTAAGGCGAGCTAGAGTTGAATTCCCTTTCATAAAGGGAGTTGAATCACATGTAGTTTCTGGTCCTAGAAGCAAGAGTTGTTTTCTGGTAAGGAGAGTCACTATTGTGCTCAATTGTCCATACACAGTGCAAATAGCACTCGTGTCCGTTCCCAGTAATTGCAGTGTATTGGACGTAAGAGAAGCTACTGTTCTTGTCAGTTTCCTAAGCAGAGTTGAACTAGTTATGGCCTAAGTGTGTAGGAAGCACAGTTCTTTTGTTCTGAGCAAGCAGACTGTTCTGGCTCTATAGGAAGCACAGTAGAGTAGAAGAGTGCTGCTTTCTCAAAACAGAGTGTGTTTCTTGTAAGGCGAGCTAGAGTTGAAATCCCTTTCTTAAACAGAGTAGAATCACATGCAGTTTCTGGTCCTAGCTGCAAGAGTTGTTTTCTGGTAAGGAGAGTCTCTATTGGGCTCCATTGGCCATACACAGTGCAAATAGCACTCACGTCTGTTCCCAGCAAGTGCAGGTATTGGACGCAAGAGAAGCTACTGTTCTTGTCAGTTTCCTAAGCAGAGTTGAACTAGATATGGACCGTGTGTGTAGGATGCACAGTTCTTTTGTTCTGAGCAAGCTGACTGTCCTGGCTCTATAGGAAACACAGTAGAGTAGAAGAGTGCTGCTTTCTCAAAAGCAGAGTGTGTTTCTTGTAAGGCGAGCTAGAGTTGAAATCCCTTTCATAAACGGAGTTGAATCACATGCAGATTCTGGTTCTAGCAGCAAGAGTTGTTTTTTGGTAAGGAGAGAAAACACAGTAGAGTAGAACTGTGCTGCTTTCTCAAAAGCAGAGTGTGTTTCTTGTAATGCGAGGTAGATTTGACTTCCTTTTCATAAAGGGAGTTTAATCACATGCAGTTTCTGGTCCTAGCACAAAGACTTTAGAGAGTCTCCTTACCAGAAAACAACTCTGGTTAGGAGAATCTCTATGGTGCTCAATTGGGCATACACAGTGCAAATAGCGCTCGCGTCTGTTGCCAGCAAGTGCAGTGTATTGGACTAAAGAGAAGCTACTATTCTTGTCAGTTTCCTAAGCAGAGCTGAACTAGATATGGCCCGTGTGTGTAGGAAGCACAGTTCTTTTGTTCTGAGCATTGACTGTTCTGGCTCTATAGGAAACACAGTAGGGTAGAAGAGTGCTGCTTTCTCAAAAGCAGAGTGTGTTTCTTGTAAGGCGAGCTAGAGTTGAATTCCCTTTCATAAACGGAGTTGAATCACATGCAGTTTCTGGTCCTAGCAGCAAGAATTGTTTTTTGGTAAGGAGAGACACTATTGTGCTCAATTGGCCATACAAAGTGTAAATAGCACTCGAGTCTGTTCCCAGCAGGTGCAGTGCATTGGACGCAAGAGAATCTACTGTTCTTGTCAGTTTCCTTTGCAGAGTTGAACTAGATATGGCCGTGTGGGTAGGACGCACAGTTTATTTGTTCTGAGCCCTCTGACTCTTCTGGTTCTATAGGAAACACAGTGGAGTAGAAGAGTGCTGCTTTCTCAAAAGCAGAATGTGTTTCTCGTAAGTCGAGCTAGAGTTGAATTCCGTTTCATAAACGGAGTTGAATCCCATGCAGTTTCTGCTCCTAGCAGCAAGAGTTTTTTCTGGTAAGGAGAGTCACTATTGTGCTCAATTGGGCATACACAGTGCAATTAGCACTCGCGTCTCTTCCCAGCAAGTGCAGTGTATTGGACACAAGAGAAGCTACTGTTCTTGTCAGTTTCCTAAGCAGAGTTGAACTAGATATGGCTGTGTGTGTAGGTAGCACAGTTCATTTGTTGTGAGCCCTCTGACTCTTCTGGCTCTGTAGGAAACACAGTGGAGTAGAAGAGTGCTGCTTTCTCAAAAGCAGAGTGTGTTTCTCGTAAGCGAGCTAGAGTTCAATTCCCTTTCATAAACGGAGTTGAATCACATGCAGTTTCTGGTCCTAGCAGCAAGAGTTGTTTTCTGGTAAGGAGAGTCACTATTGTGCTCAATTGGCCATACACAGAGCAAAGAGCACTCGTGACTGTTCCCAGCAAGTGCAGTGTATTGGATGCAATAGAAGCTACTGTTGTTGTCAGTTTCCTAAGCAGTTTTGAACTAGATATGGCCGTGTGTGTAGGAAGCACAGTTCATTTGTTCTGAGCCAGCTGACTCTTCTGGCTCTATAGGAAACACATTAGAGTAGAACAGTGTTGCTTTCTCAAAAGCAGAGTGTTTTTCTTGTAAGGCAAGCTAAAGTTGAATTCTGTTTCATATACGGAGTTGAATCACATGCAGATTCTGGTCCTAGCAGCAAGAGTTGATTTCTGGTAAGGAGAGTGACTATTGTGCTCAATTGGCCATACAGTGCAGATAGTACTCGCGACTGTTCCCAGCAAGTGCAGTGTATTGGACGCAAGAGAATCTACTGTTCTTGTCAGTTTCCTAAGCAGAGTTGAACTAGATATGGCCCGTGTGTGTAGGAAACACAGTTCTTTGGATCTGAGCAAGCTGACTGTTCTGGCTCTATAGGAAACACAGTAGAGTAGTAGAGTGCTGCTTTCTCAAAAACAGAGTGTGTTTCTTGTATGGCGAGCTAGAGTTGAATTCCCTTTCATAAACTGATTTGAAGCACATGCAGTTTCTGTTCCTAGTAGCAAGAGTTATTTTCTGGTAAGGAGAATCACTATTGTGCTCAATTGCCCATACACAGTGCAAATAGTACTCGCGTCTGTTCCCAGCAAGTGCAGTGTATTGTACGCAAGAGAAGCTACTGTTCTTGTCATTTTCCTAAGCAGAGTTGAACTAGATATGGCCTGTGTGTGTAAGAAACACAGCTCTTTTGTTCTGAGCAAGCTGACTGTTCTGGCTCTATAGGAAACACATTAGAGTAGAACAGTGCTGCTTTCTCAAAAGCAGAGTGTTTTTCTTGTAAGGCGAGCTAAAGTTGAATTCTGTTTCATAAACGGAGTTGAATCATATGCAGATTCTGGTCCTAGCAGCAAGAGTTGTTTTTTGGTAAGAAGAGACACTATTCTGCTCAAATGGCCATACACAGAGCTAAGAGCACTCGTGACTGTTCCCAGCAAGTGCAGTGTATTGGACGCAAGAGAAGCTACTGTTCTTGTCAGTTTCCTAAGCAGAGTTGAACTAGATATGGCCCGTGTGTGTAGGAAGCACAGTTCATTTGTTCTGAGCCAACTGACTCTTCTGGCTCTATAGGAAACACAGTAGAGTAGAAGAGTGCTGCTTTCTCAAAAGCAGAGTGTGTTTCTTGTAAGGCGAGCTAGAGTTGAATTCCGTTTCATAAACGGAGTTGAATCACATGCAGTTTCTGCTCCTAGCAGCAAGAGTTTTTCTGGTAAGGAGAGTCACTATTGTGCTCAATTGGGCATACACAGTGCAAATAGCACTCGCGTCTGTTCCCAGCAAGTGCAGTGTATTGGACACAAGAGAAGCTACTGTTCTTGTCAGTTTCCTAAGCAGAGCTGAACTAGATATGGCCGTGTGTGTAGGAAGCACAGTTCTTTTGTTCTGAGCAAGCTGACTGCTCTGACTCTTTAGGAAACACAGTAGAGTAGTAGTGTGCTGCTTTCTCAAAAGCAGAGTGTGTTTCTTGTAAGGCGAGCTAGAGTTGAATTTCCTTTCATAAAGGGAGTTGAATCACATGCAGTTTCTGGTCCTAGCAGCAAGAGTTGTTTTCTGGTAAGGAGAGTCACTATTGTGCTCAATTGGCCATACCCAGTGCAAATAGCACTCGCGTCTGTTCCCAGCAAGTGCAGTGTATTGGACGCAAGAGAAGCTACTGTTCTTGTCAGTTTCCTAAGCAGAGTTGAACTAGATATGGCCCATGTGTATGGAACCATTACTTAGAGTAATGAAATAGGCCTACTTTTTTCCTATAAAGAGCCTTATGCTAGCCAATTTTATTATTGTTTTAATGTTTTGAGTAGGCAATGCAGTCATTGCAAAAGGATCAAAAGGAATGTAGTTCTAGCTCTCGCTGGCCCCTCTCTTTCCTTTCCTACTCTTCACCTCATTCTCTGCTTCCACTCCAGATCCTTGACAGTGCCTTGTAGATACAGGTAAACGTGATAATATAGCTTGACTTCTTTTTTCCCTTAGGTCACACAAAACTAACACTGTTTTGGTCACTTGATTTTGCAAGACTTGGTTGTTGCTGTGGTATAAAGTCTATTAGAGGGAAGATATTGGGATGATTTAATTGCATTTCATCTTTGAAGAGATTTTTTTGCAGGCTGAGAGTTCAATTTGTTTCAATGGTAATTTTGTATTGAAATAGACTTGGGGCCAAACTACAGCCTTGCCAAGGCTTATATAACTAATAGAAGCTGAGCCTTCAGCCGTTGCCATATGCTGTGAGGAACAAAGCCAGAGAACAGTCAGTGCATGTAGGTCTTGAGCACTGAGTTCTGGAGCCTTGAGAGCTGTCTCACAAAAAATGTGTTGTGTGTGGTGTCCTGTTTTGTTTTTTATTCAGGTGCTAGTTCTTTATTACTTTTAGTTTTTTCATTTCTTTACTACCATATATTAATTGCACAGCATATTGAGTTTTATGACGACATTTCCATGCATGTATGTAATGTATATTGATCCTGTTACTCTCTGCTATCCACTCATTATCACCCCCAACACACACACATACACACTGTGCTGGTCCCCTTCTGTTTTCCAAACATGTGTAACATACTTCTCTTCTTAGTGCTCCTTGAGGGGGAAGTAAAGGACAAGAGCTGGGAGATATGGCTTGGAGTCATATTGCCACCAAGTAGGATCTCTAGAGAGAACCTGTGCCCCTCCCAAAGCCACGTACCCTGAACATGCTGCTTGTGTCTTGCCTTTCTTCACCCTAGGTACTGGCGGAGGACACTGGGTATGCAAGTCTGCTATGTACACCATGAGGACTATCAGTTCTGTTACTCCTTCCGGGGTAGGCCAGGACACAAACCGTCCATCCTCATGCTCCATGGATTCTCTGAACACAAGGATATGTGGCTCAGTGTAGTCAAGGTACACTTCCAGACTCTTCTCTCTTAAAAGGAGTGGACCACAGTTCAAATTCATCTTTAAATTAATGAAATATATAATATATTACTGAGACTCTTTTTTTTGCATTACAGAATTGATTGGGTAGTATTTTAAAAACTGTGTCTCTGGAATCTTCTTACCATGGAGATATTTTTAGGCTTGGGGAGGGTTGGGGATATTTCAGCACAGCTCTACCTCAGAACTGCCATGATGGTGGTCAAGGCTGGGCCTTTTCCAAAAGTGTTTGTTCTTAAACATTCTTTTCCTTTCCCTGCCTACCCCCAAAATCCTCTTCCTTCTGCTATTTGTTCTTTTTTCTTTTCCTTAATCATTTAGAGAAATGGTCTTGATCTGGCAGCTTTTTAGAATCCTTTTCCAAGTCACTTTTTGTACTGTTGACTTGTGTGGCCTCTCACTGTACTTTGGGAGAGTGGCCAGCTAATGGGGGACAGGGGGCGGGACTGAGGCTGGTGTTTGTCTTGAGAGAGCAGCATCCCAGGTTCCTACTTCAAATGGGACAATATCTGAAAGATCGTAAGTGTCACTAGGAGGAAAAGTGCACATGTCATTGGGTTATTTGTGTTCTTTCCAAATGCCACCATGAGGACAGCCATCTTCAAGCCTTAATCCTTTTTGTCCCCTCTTCAGTAAACATCTTTGATAACTAATGTTTCTCAGACTCATGGCTAAAGTTGGTGCATCTTTTAAACATAGAGGAAAGGTGATTTGGGAGAATCATCATCTCAATAATTAGACCCTGATGAAGGAAAAAAGAAAGTTGAAACCAGCCTTATGGCTTTGGGGAAAGGCATTGCTCCTTTTGGCTCTGGACCTGGCCAGGGCTCTGGGAACCATCTCTTCTAGTTCCAGGACAACACTTCCTCCAGCCATGTGGCTGTTGTCCTGGAACTAGAAGAGATGGTTCCCAGAGCCCTGGCCAGGTCCAGAGCCAAAAGGAGCAATGCCTTTCCCCAGAAAGGGTAGCATGGAAGGGAAGGAAATAGTACTGAGCAAACAGTATTAAGTATTTTCAGATGTTACCTTGGAGGGAAAAGCACTTGCAGTGCAAGCCTGATAAGCTGAGTTTGATCCCTGGAACCCACATAAAAGTGGAAAGAGAGAATGGATACCTAAAACATAATGGTAAATATTTTAAAAAATTAAGTGCAAGATGTAAGCCTGCTAGCCTGAGTTTTGTATCCTCTCTCCTGTCACCCACTGAACCTCTTTTCATCTGTGCACCAGTCTTGGGGTCCTCTTCTCCATATGAGGCTCTGTTGATACTTTATTCACATGTATAAGACACATAGAGGCTCAGAAACATAATCTCAGTGGCTGTCTGGGTCATTGAGTAGGTGGCAGCTTCCTCCCCAGAGAAATGGGTAGACATGTTTTTCTAGATCACATACTGACTGTCTGGCTCTGGGTCTTCAGTTCCTTCCGAAGAACCTGCACTTGGTCTGCATGGACATGCCTGGTCATGAAGGCACCACCCGCTCGTCCCTGGATGACCTGTCTATAGATGGGCAAGTTAAGAGGGTACATCAGGTAAGCAGGAGGCTTTACCCAAACTGCCCAGATTGTATCTTCTCAGCACATGGAAAGCAGGCAAGAGTTGCACACTAGCTCATGGCCAGTCCGTAGTACATCTGTCTTTAAGTGATTGCAAACAGAATGGCAGCCTAGGGATATCTTTGGTCAGTTTTCCTTTAAGCCTATTGTATTTTTTGTTTTATTTTTTGAAATAGGGTATCATGTAGTGGAAGTTGCCTTAAACTTCTGATCCTCCTGCCTCTACTTCCCAAGTGCAATGATTACAGTAATGTACTACCATTTTATGTGGTGCTGGGAATCAATAACAAATCAAGGAATCAGTGCATGCTAACCAAGCACTCTGCCCACTGAGTTACATCTCCTGCCAATTTGTACATGAAGAAGTGTAATCTGGGCAGTTTCTCAGCCCTTTAAAAAGGCATTTAGAATTCTACAAAACTGTTCCCCTGTGGAGGTCTGTTTTTCTCCTTCTGTGTGGTTGGGGCGAACTCTTTGCATGTTGTTGTGTTTTAGTATCCATCTCTGGCTCTCTCCTAAGGTTATGTATAAAGCCTTTTCTTAACAGAATAGTTTGTAAGTTTCACGTTCACATTGATTTTTTTTTTCTAAATAAGAATATTTAGGAGTCGGGCAGTGGTGGCACACGCCTTTAATCCCAGCACTCGGGAGGCAGAGGCAGGCAGATCTTTGTGAGTTCGAGGCCAGCCTGGTCTACAGAGCGAGATCCAGGAAAGGCACAAAGCTACACAGAGAAACCCTGTCTCAAAAAAAAAAGAATATTTAGTTGATAATTTCTGCCTCCACCATTAAACTATATATTTTAACGAGGGCTTATTGTCTGGCTCTTTGCTGTGTCCTCAAGGGCTAACCATAGTTACTTGTACCTAATAAATATCTAATAATATTTTTCCAGTGAGGGATAAATATGTAGATGGTTGATTGGACCCATGTCTAGCCAGATAGGGCTTCAAATGAAGCAGGAGTCATCAAACTATCGCCCCAGAGCTGTCAACCTACTTTTGTAAACTAAATTTTACTGGAACACATCCATGCTTACTTAGCTTACTTAGGTATGTATTGCCTCCGGCAACTTTTGTGATGCAGTAGCCTAGTTGAATAGTTACCACAGAGACCAGCCGACCCATAGAGAGAGGAAAAAAAACATCGATGCCTTGGTCCTTTATAGAACAGTTTATGACTTAAGGGGATCATTGTTGTTTGATTTATACTTATAAATGACCCTACAGCCACATGTGCCTTATAAAGCAAAGTACACATATGTCACAGGGCTCAACTAAATGTTGGGTGTAATAATCAGTGTCAGACCCAGTAGAGTGTTCAGTTTTACTGAGGGGAGGGGTCTCTGCTCTGCAGTAGTTGCTGACATCTCAGCTGTAATCATGCCTCCTTTTCATTTCTCTTCCTAGTTTGTAGAGTGCCTTAAGCTGAACAAAAAGCCCTTTCACGTTATAGGCACCTCCATGGGTGGCCACGTGACTGGAGTATACGCTGCTTACTACCCATCTGATGTCTGCAGCCTGTGTCTTGTGTGCTCTGCTGGTGAGTTACATTACCAGAACAACCTTCCAAGTAACTTGAATTTAAAGAAGCATCCACACAGCTTCTGCTATGACTCCTTTAAAAAGTTACCCTTCTGATATAGACCTCAGAGATAGACAATGCTTTGTGATAACTCTGACTAGGTAACAATTGTGTGATGAGAACCATAGCCAGACTGACTTAATTGGAGCCAGACCTGGTTCACAGAGAAGGAGGGAGGCAGTGGCCATGTGCATGGTGCTGTGTGGCTCCTGTACTTAACTGTGGAACCTGTCCTTCTCCACAGAGAAGGAGGGAGACAGTGGAAATTTAAGATTGATTGTTTGCATGTGAGAAGGTGGAAACAAGTTAGGATCACATCCTACCTACATTTTTCCATATAAGTTTTGTCTTAACTTTGAAATAATTTTAAATTTATAGGAACATTGCCAAGGTAGTGCAGATTCCCATATTCCCTTTACCCAGTTTTGTCTATGTGAACAGCTCACATCCCCACAGTGACCCTGTCACAACTAAGGAGTTGAGCTTGGTGCCTTACTATCAACTGAATCCCAAGCTTCATTTGAATTTGACTTCATTTTTCCACCCGTGTTGCTTTTGAGTATCAGAATCCAGTGTAGGATACCACAAGATATTAAACCTAAGATTAATTTTTTTCTTAAAAAATATATATGGCCAGGCGGTGGTGGCGCATGCCTTTAATCCCAGCACTCGGGAGGCAGAGCCAGGCGGATCTCTGTGAGTTCGAGGCCAGCCTGGACTACCAAGTGAGTTCCAGGAAAGGCGCAAAGCTACTCAGAGAAACCCTGTCTCGAAAAACCAAAATATATATATATGACTTTGGGGGGCCAGTGACAATATAAATTAAAAGAGAAGAGATGTAAAGGCTAACAGATAAAAAATGAGTTTTATTATTTGATCATCTGTCAGGGTGTGACTTTTTATCAAAACTTTCATTTGAATGCAAAAACAATGACTTTTTTTTCCTTTCTATGGTGCTGAATTTCAAACCAGGGCCTCATACAGGCTAAGCAAGGGCTCTGCTACTGAGCTGCACGCCCACATCTTAAGTTAGTTTGTTTATAACATAGATGTTATCTTAGCACAACTTCTAAAGGCTATTACAGAAAGTTATGAGGCCATTTTTGAAAGCTTTTAGGACTACCTCATGAAATTGCCTGTGCTCTAAAAGGACATATTCTGTGATTAAAATTAAAGAGAAGTCACTGTGAAACAGTATTGGATATGGACAATTCTGGACAGGTTCTATGTATCCCCCCATCCCACAGGTTAGGTTCTTGCTATGGCTGGCTTTAATTCCCTGTGTATGTAGCCTAGGCTGGCTTTGAACTTGCAATCCTCTTGCTTCAGATTCTTGTGTGGCTAGGATTATAGGAGCATACTATCTCAGCAGGCTTTTCAGGACATAGATACATAATGTGTGGTTTTCTTTATGGGTAAGAGACAAAGTTGAAGCTGAGTATCTTCTTGGTCACTGTCCACTTTATTTGTTGATGTGGGGTTTCTAGCTGAACCCGGAACTTGCCAGTTATGGCTGGTCTAGCTAGCAAGCTGGCCACAGAGTCTCCTGTTTATCTCCAAGAGTTGAGATTACAGGTGACTGTTACAGCTTCTGCATGGGTTCTGGGGTTCTGAACTTCCATCCTCATACTTATGCAGCAAGAGCTTTACCAGTGAGCCATTTCCCTGGTCCTAACATGTTGTTTTCTATAGGATGGCCAGTATTAAAGATGCAACTGCCTATTTGTTTTTAAGACAAGGTCTCATGTAGTCAAGACTGGCCTTAAATTCATAATCTTTCCACATCTACCTCCCAAATTCTGGGATCACAGGCCATGCCTAGCATAGTGTTAGCTATCAGAGCCTCTTGTGTCATGAGACAGTGGGCAGTCTCAAAAGGAGTCTCACCCCTCACTTAATTTTCTCCTGGAGGAAGAGAGCCTTTGTGCTGCACTTACACTCTCTTGTGTCTTATGCATTGGCCACAGAGGGGAGGGCATCCAGATCAAGGGAGGGAGCTGCAGTCATGGCAGCTCCATGCTTTCTTTCCATCTCTCACTTCCTTCAATCTCCTCGAAATAACACAGGCATGAAAACAGCTCGAGTGAGGCACCATCTGGTACTCCCCATACTCTGCCATTCTCACCCCCTTGCAGCTTGTGGAAATGCAGGTTCTGGTTCAAGAGGCTTGGGGACAGCCTCCGTTTCTGCGTATCTTGCTAGTCTGTGGCCATGGTATGTGCAATCAGCCCTAAAACATAATGCTGTTGTTTTAATCTGGACTAGCTTAGAATTTATTATGTAAGCCCATGATGGCCTTGAACTTGTGATTCTCTTGTCTCCACCTCTTGAGGCATGTATGTACCACCATGCTTAACTCCAACCCTAAAATATCTTAGATGATATATTTTTTTCTATAATTCTCAGAATACGATGTTTACTTTGAGCAAGGGTGCCAGTACCAATTAAAAAGTGATCTCTTAGCCAGGTGGTGGTGGTGCACAACTTTAATCCCAGCACTCAGGAGGCAGAGGCAGGCAGATCTTTGAGTTTGAGGCCAGCCTGGTCTACAGAGTGAGTTCCAAAGATGGCTAGATCTACACAGAGAAACCCTGTCTCAAAGAGAAAAAAAAAAGAGGATTGTCTCCTGGTGAAAGAAACCTGACATGTTAACCTGAGTCCCTGGGTTTTCATTGAACATTTCCTGCACATAGGGGCACAATACACCTGATAGGTGTATCATTGGGCTCTTTTGTTTTGCATCCCAGGCCTGCAGTATTCAACTGACAATCAGTTTGTACAACTCGGCTGCCATTCAGAAAATTCCCTTGATCCCATCCACCCCAGAAGAGATGAGTGAGATGCTCCAGCTCTGCTCCTATGTCCGATTCAAAGTGCCCCAGCAGGTACAGTGTATCAGTGCCACACCCTTGCCCTCCATGCAGCCTCCCCCAGCATGGCCTCTTGCATCTACTCTCTGGCTCCATTCTGTCTGCTCCATTATTCAACATGTAGCTTACCTGTGATTATGTTAGACACTGTGCTGAACACTATGGTAAATATAAACACAGGGAGTTTCAACTGAGCAGATGCAATCCAATGCAGGAAGCAGACAACTAATAGACAAAAATTTACAAGTTGAGACAAATTTTAGAGGTAAAATGAAGATGGTATAAATATTTAAAATGGGGAGGGAGGGATAGCTCTGATAAGGTAATTTGAAGGGTCATGTGTAGAGTGGAAAAAACATACACAGATTGATGGCAATGGAAAAAAGCAAGTGGCTGGAGCCTAGAGAGTGAAGGAGAAAGGAGTTGGAAATGGAGTCAGGGGCTAAATCACATTCTCAATTTAAAAAAATTAAGACTCTTAGACTTGTACATTTAAAAAAATTATTTTGGATGAACCCGGAGGGCTTTTTATCTATGAGGGTTATATTTATTGATATTGAAACTCAAAAAAATTAAAAAAACAAAGATAAACATTTGCCATAAGAGATGATATTATCTTATCATATATAGTATGCTTTTAAGAGAATGTAGGTGAAAGGCAATGATGTTGAGTGTCATTGAGTATGATCACAGTGTGACCTCATGGTTTCCTAAGAGCTGCTCTGGAGAAGATCTTGTATGTCCTTGTAGTTTATGGGAGTGAGTCTGTTTTTTCTAAGCATAATGGGAGAGCCACTGAAAGACTGTAGAGGACACAAATAGAAACAGAGGCTACTTGGGATATACTGTGGCTTAGAGGTGATGCTGGTACCAACTGGGGTAATAGCACTAGCTAAGATGTGTTGTGAGGAAGAATGGACAGGACTTAGGGCAGGTTGGAAGTAGAGGTGAGGAAAAGTGAGTGGTCATAGATGACTTCCAGTTCTTGAGACTGAATGGGTAAAGGTAGCATTTTCTGCACAGGGAAAGGAGAGGAGGAATTTCAGGTTTGGGACATATGCTGAGAGTTCCATTTTTGGATATATTAAGTTCAGATTGCTTTTGAGGCTTCCAAGGGATGGGCAGTTGGACATTTAAGTGGTGCAAAGGGATTTCTGGCCTAAACATAAAGCAGGAGCCATAGACAGAGGAAGATATTGAGGGTCATGTCTGAATGAGGTCGTTTGAGGAAAAGGTGTAGAGAAAAAAGTCCACAGCTGCGGCCTTATGAACCCAGATTATCTTCCTATGTTGTAAGCAATGAACCCTGCCTCAGAGTGAGGTGAGGTCCTCCTAAGCTGTGAGAATGGATGCTACACAGACTTTGTGACCATGACTTAGTTAATAAGTGCAGTACGTTTCTGGAGAAGAATCCAAAATCTGTGTCTGTGGTGTAATCTGTCCTTGATATCTTTTTAGTCATAAAGTGGCACTGTCCTCTTCCAGCTATAATACCTTTAGAATATTGTGACCAAAGAAGACTCCTTGCTTTTAGTTGTCAGGGATAAGAAAACACTGGGAGAAAATATATGTTGATTTCAGAAGCCTTTCTTTCCCAGTAGGGTAGGGCCACCTACCATTGAGTCCATTAGGCCATCTTGTGGTTTCGTTTGTTCATGTGTGTCTTCTGCTCTGTTCTCTGTCAGGGCCTGCCTATCTCCACACTTTAGCAGTGCACTTTCATGAAGAAGGTCCTACTTATATAGATTGCATGGATGGTGGATATTATAGGATGTCTTAGTGTCAGAGATAGAGAATGGATAGTTATATAGGTACAAGATAGATAGATAAATGAGTTAATGCATGTTATGCTTATATGGTTTAAGGCTGCAGGATGGAACCATGGGTGGATGGTTGGTTGGTTGGAGGGATGGGATGATGACTGGATAGTATAGGGGTGGAGAAAGGATAGATTAGCAAATACAGACATAAATAAATGATTCAGGGAAATAAGATAAATGGATGAACTGATCCATCAATTAAGCCAGTGGTTCTCAACCTGTGGGTCGCAACCCTTTTGGGGGTTGAACAACCCTTTCACAGGGGTCACCTCAAACCATAGGAAATAATCAGATATTTACATTACAATTCATAACAGTAGCAAAATTATAGTTATGAAGTAGCAATGAAAATAATTTTATGGTTGGGGGTCACTACAATATGAGGAACTGTACTAAAGGGTTACAGCATTAGGAAGGTTGAGAACCACTGAATTAAGCAGAGTTGGAAAAGGATAGATGGATGCATGGATACTGGATGGATAGTAGAAAGAAGAAAATATCTGTCATGGAGCACAGTGTTTATTAAGTAAACAGTCATTTCCCTCACCTCTGTGCTGCTAATTTCAGAACCTCTGGGATTCTAAAGAGCTGGTTTCGCCGGGTGGTGGTGGCGCATGCCTTTAAATCCAACACTTGGGAGGCAGAGGCAGGCGGATCTCTGTGAGTTCGAGGCCAGCCTGGGCTACCAAGCGAGTTCCAGGAAAGGCACAAAGCTACACAGAGAAACCCTGTCTCGAAAAACAAAAAACAAAAAACAAACAAACAAAAAAAGAGCTGGTTTAGTCAAAAGCAGTCATGGTTCAATATATTAGTGAGCTTTCTATCACTGTGGGAGAATACCTGACAGTGCCATGGGTTCAGAGGTTTCAGGCCATGGTTACTTGGCCCCTTCATTTTGAGCGTATAGTGAGGCAGAACATCATGGCAGGAAGCATGCAGTAGAGCAGAACTGCTCATCTCATGGTGGACAGGAACCAGACAAGGATGGAGCCAGGGTCCCAATATATCATTCAATGACCTCTCCAAGTGGGTCCCACCTCCTAAAGCCCACCCCACAGGCTGAAGACCAAGCATTCAGTACATGACCTTTTGAGGAACATAACACTAGTCTTCCCAACTTTGGTCTGCATAAGACTCCTGAGATGGTATGTTGAAGGCGTCTAGACCTGTTCTCTGGTGAATGAGAGGAGTGACAGCTATCTTTGTGAACCCTCTGCTTTGACTTAGAGTCCTGAGGCAAGGAACTGCTTTACAATTGCCATAGCCACCTATCTGGGTTAGTAGCCCAGGGCCTACCTATATTTGCTGCAGCCCTCAGCAAAGAAAACAAAGGCAATGTCAGACAATAATCTGGGCTCTCTGAAACTATGGGGTTCTCACCAGAGTTTTCTTAATAGTTTATTTCTTCTCCTCTTCCTCCTCTTTTTCCTCTTCCTCTTTCAAGAGGGTCTTTTTATGTATTACAGACTATCCTGGAACTCACCAAATAACTGAAGATGAATTTAAACCCTCAATTCTTCTGCCTCTATCTCTAGAGTATTAGGATTATAGGCATGCTGTACCACACCAGGTTTATGTGGTGCTGGAGATGGTCGAGGCTTGGTGCATGATGCTAGGCCAGTGTTTATAGGATCATCAATCCTGATGGTTCAATCTTGTTCTGCATTTAGATATCATTGAATAATGGCCTGATATTTTGTTTATCCAAATTTTTGTCTTGAATTAAACCAAGAGTTTCTCAAGATGCCATGCTAATGTCTTTATAATGTCTTTAACATAATATGCAGACCTCTGGCTTCACAGCATTTCCCAAGTTCCCCCCTAATTTTTTATTATTTTTTAATGTGAAAAGTGTTTTGCCTGTATTTTGTGCACCACATGCATGAAGTGCCTACAGAGGTTAGAGGAGAGCATCAGAGCCCTTGGAACTAGAGTTACAGATGGTTGTGAGCTTCCTTGTATATGCTGAGAATCAAACCAGGTCTTATGTAAGAGCACTGAGCTATCTCTCCAGCTCAGTTTGTTTTTTAAAGCCTCCCAATTATATTCTACATTCTGGGGATTCACAAGCCCAACCCTAGGCAGTGCTGCCCCCGAGCTATAAGACGCTGGAGGATGTGGGACTTCTCTTGTTTTCTAACCTTGGATTATTCATCCTCAGATCCTTCAAGGCCTTGTTGATGTTCGCATCCCTCATAACAGTTTCTACCAGAAACGTAAGTAGCCCTGCTCTAGCTTGCGGCTTTGCGGCCAGCTGCCTTGTAGTTTGTAAACCTCTGTACATGTCCTGTTTTCTGGTCCCCTGAAGAGAAGTAATGGCCTGGACTTGAAGCTCTGACTTTTGTGGTACCTATGTGCAGACCCTGCATATACTCACTGTGTTTTTCTTTTCTGACAAGTGTTTTTGGAAATTGTCAGTGAGAAATCCAGATACTCTCTGCATCAGAACATGGACAAGATCAAGGTCCCAACACAGATCATTTGGGGAAAACAGGACCAGGTATGTCATAGGGCCCTGTGGAAAAAAAGCAAGTGGTGATCTTTAAAGTGGGCCTCCGTGGTGGGTTTATTGTGTCAGGTGCCAATGTCTGCTGCCACAATTCTTTAAGCTGGGAACAATGACATTTGACTTTTAACATGAAAGGAAATTTGTTTGTTTATTGAGATAGGTAGCCCAAGCTGACCTTGTACATAGGATCTTCCTGGCTTCAAATCTGGGATCAACAGGGCTGATTCCTCTAGGAACTCTGAGGGAGACTCTCCCCATTTTCCTCCAGCTTCTGTTGCTTGCAACCATCTTTGGTATCCCCTGTCTTATAGATGTATTCCCTGGGTTCTACTTTCATCTTCACATGACATTCTGTGGTGTGTGTGTGTGTGTGTGTGTGTGTGTGTGTGTGTGTGTGTGTGTATCTGTATTCACAATCCACTTTTTAAAGGACACCAGTCATATGGCTTAGGGCTTCCCTGCTCTCTTATGACATCATCTTAACCAGTTACACCTGCAATGCACTATTCCAAAACAGGCCAATGCTGAGTACTGGAATTAGGACTTCAGCATAAGAATATGGGGACTCCATTCAGCTCATAACCAGCTCTCCAAAGACACACCAAGTTTATTCCCAGAAGTACCTTTGTAACTGCCTCTGAGAAATCATGCCTACCAAAGATTTTTCATAATGTTTAAAGCAAGAGGAGGCAGTGAGAAATGTATAATGCAAACGAATGACAGTGTATTATAAAGGGTACACAAGAATCTTTCATTAAGGAATATTGTAAGAAAAAGATATTAAAAACAGGCTTTTTTTCTGATTGTTTTCTGGTGCCATAACAAAATGTCTGAGACTGAGTAATTTAAAAGGACTAGACGTGTAAAGGTTAATGTTTGGTTGGCTGGGAAGTCCATGTGTAGAGTGCCAGCATCTGCCAGCATGTAGTGAGGGGCTTTCTGTTCCATATTTGGTTGAGGACAGCATGATAGTGACATTAATCCATTCCTGAGGGCAGAGATCTCAATGATCTATTAGTCCATTTAGGAGGGCAGAAGGATAAAGTTTCCAATGCATGAACTTATAAGGGACACCTTCAAGCTCGGCAGACCTGAGTTCTGATGCAGCTGAGGAAGTAGAGGAATCTTTACAGAAAGGGAAAGAGAACTCAGGAATAGTGTCTTCCCTTTCTTTGTCTTATTTGCCCTCTCAGCCCCTATCTATGGAGCCCCTGTTCACATAATGATACAGTCATCTCTTGATAGTTCTGGCTCCCCCTCCGGCTTAACCTCCTTGCAGACAGGAACTCTGTCTTTTCTACCTGGTTATCATTGGCAGTGACTTCTATTACCACATTTCAGAGTCAAACAGGAGACATGCCAACGGCTTCCATTTACCCCATCTTCCTGACCCCTGCCAGGCCTCAGTGGTAGAAATTGTGCACCGTGCTCCCAGACCCTTCTGGCAGCACAACCTATACCTCTTCTCTCTGGATTGACAAGGGTTACTACCCTCACTGCACAGCCTTGTGAGGCCACTTTGAAGAGAATATTAGGAGAGAGAGTTGCACAAGGCAGCCTGCCTTCCTCTGTACCATCACATGAAAGATTTTCTCCATCCACCAAATCTATGCTTTAGACTGAAAACTCCTCTGCACCTGAAAATTTTCCCAAACAACTACACCAAGTCTTCATGTTTTCAACTGTAATTCAGCAGAAACTGTTGTCAATAATTTCCCATCAAAACATTATTCTAGAAATTAAAATGAAAATTTTATTTAAAACAAGAATGAATTACAACATTTCTAAAATTAGGCTGATTTTGAATAGGAAACATTAGGGGAATCTACTATTGGTATTTTCCTAAACCACCATAATCTAGCTGTGTTCAAAACGCTCATCCTTCTACTCACGAGTAAGTGCAGCCCTCCCCCCTTTCCAAAGAAGCTTCTTTTTACAACAGTAGAGACTATCACTGCACTACAGTGGTAAACATAAAGGGATGCTCAAACCCAGCTGCTACACCTACAATGCAACCCTTGTACTTAAGGCTCAGGAAAAACCATGAAGAGGAGATGGAAGTGTAAGCCAGAGAGCCAGTGTTGCTAGACAGTGTCTTCTAGACACGACAGGCTGTTCCCAGGGAATTTCAATGCTATGGTTGCTTAAATAAGACCTGCATAATGACAACACTAATGAATATGTCAACGCAAGAGGGGAAATTTCACAAGGCCTTATTCCTAGATGAAGAGCTATAGGCAATCTAAGGTTGCTGAGAGAAGGAGAATCAATTTTCTCTGGAGAGGAGCTGCTGCCTGATAGCTATCAAATTCCAAGTCATCAGCCCTAAATGCATTGTATATACAAGCAATGCTAAATGGATTCAGTAAATTTTGTGTGTGAGTCTGAGTGTCTATGCATACACATATAGGTAACTAATAATTAAAGAAGAGGTCTTGAATTTGAGAAGGAATAGAAGGGACATGGGAAGAGTTGCACCATGGACAGGGAGGGAAATGTTGTAAATATAGTACTCAAGTATGCAATTCTCAAACTAATAAATTTAAATTAAAAAAGGATTTCTAAAGTTCATCTTCAAGTTAAGCTTACATTATGTACTATGACTGTAATTACTGCTTCTCTGTATCATCCTCCCTGAGTGATAACAGACTAGGTTAAAAATTTATTCTAGGAATGTAAGCGAAAGTTGGTTTGGGATAGGCAGACTAAGTAGAACAGATCGCCTACAGAATGTAGGAGGCCTCAGCTCGTCCTAGGGAAGTGGAGTAGGGGAGAATTTGCTCTTTGCCTGTTTTTGGATGGGGCATCATTCTTCTTCCTTGGGACTTGGAGTCAAGATTTGAACTAAAGCTTCAAATGACAGCTTTCCTAGTTCCTAGGTCTTTCAATCATAGTATATCACCAGCCCTCCAGATTCTCCAGCTTGCTTTGTATGACTTATAGGACTTCTCTGTGTCCATCACTATATCCTGTAAGTTTATAAGCCAAAGTCAGAAGCCATATAATAAATATAAAACGTACACACACACAGTTCTGTTTCTCTGGACAACCTAGAGTCATATAATTATTATTTTTATGGTAATTTGTTGGCTATAAATGAATCAAAACTATATTTACTTATACTAGTTCTTTCCTCAGTAACACCAAATTTTGTTTTATTTGCTAAGCAATAAGGATCATTTTCAAACTTATTTATGCAAATAAATTTTACTTACTAAAAACTGTTTTGTTGTTTATACCCAAACCAACAACCAAACAACAACAAAAACAGCAACAAAGCTGTTGTTTTAACAGATGTGGCTTATTCCAATTGTAACAAATGAGAAAAAAGCTGTTACGAAGAAAAATTTTATTTACCTTATTAACATATCTTGAATAAGTTTCTCAGGCCAGGCTATATAAATATATTTACTCACTGCCTACTGTATCCTAGGGAAAAGAAACAAATGACAGCAAAAGTTGGTCTGAAACTGTCAACTACTGATCTATAAAGACGACAAGGAGCTAGTCCCAGAGTGGTGGAGTACGCCTTTAAGGACCTGGAGGGCGGTACATACAGGCAGAGACGAGGCAGTCACATGATTGGGTTTACAACCAATGAGAAGCCAGAACAAGGAGACTATAGAGACAGACACACAGGAAGTAGGGCTCTCTTTTTGGAGAGCTCTCTGGGCTGAGGAGGATCCCTGAATCAGGAAGGGTGAGGCTCTTGGCTCTGACTTCTTGGCTTTCTTCTCTGAATCGGCTCTGTGTTTCTTGTTTGATAAAACCGTTGGCTACATCTACACTGAATTACTTCTACATTACACCGTTGAGAGGTATATGCTGGGCTGTTATAAGTTTTTATGCTCCAAGTCATTCCCATGACCATCATAGTGTTTTTTAATGCCTTGATTGCCTAGGAGGCTTTTTCCCCAGTCTGTGATAGGGAAAAGGTAAATGAGGAGTATGTATCTACTATTACGTGTTGTATTTTAAGTTACCAAAGGGTGGGTTGTGAGTAATATCCATTTGCCACAGTGCATTGGGCATTAGGCCCCTGGGGTTGACTGTTGCTCCATTTAGTGGTCCAAAGGGTGCTAGGGAGCACAGGTGGTACAGATTTGTGCTAGGTGCTTACAACTGGACAGGGGCAAGACAGGCAGAAGTTTATGGAGGTTATGAGGTGACAGGTGGAACTGTTGGTGTAAGAGCCTGGACTGCTCTAGCACTGGTACTCACACTGTCATGATCATTTTATGTTCATGGTGGTTGCCAGCAGCCAGCATTTCTGGCAATCCCAAGTGTGATTGAATATGAGATATATACCATGGATGCCTTCTGTTCTCTAGCATGTCTTGTATTGTTTTCATGGTTATGGAGATGGGATCTCTAAGGCTCCTTAGCAAAGGATAACAGCTTACATGCCTGGATCGTGTATTGGCTGTCTGAAAAAATGTTGATGGGCATTGAGTGGCTCAACTCTAATACTTTAAGGATGGCCAAAAATTCTCCCAACTGAACGGAGTCTGGGTTGAGGTGGGCGTGAGTACATTTTTTTTTATCATCAGGCATGGTTATTATTAAACCAAAATTGGTCTTATTGGCATCTGTAAAAGCTATAGCCACTTGAGGGAGAGGGACATTTGAAGGATTAGCACATGGGCTTACAGTTAACTCAAGAAGTGACAGTATTGACACATGTTCATCTTGGGGGAAGTGGTTATCCAAGATCCCTGGAAAACCTGTCATCATTTTCTGGAAGGGAAGGGAGTCTACCCATAAGGGCTGGGTATTTTGGAGGGAGAAGGGGAGGACAATCTTGTCTGGTTTGCAGCCCATGATTCTCCTGGCAGTTGCTCCTGCTTTATTGCCTATCTCAAAGGCAATATCAAATTTCGAGTTGATATGGAATTACTCAGAATGTAATAGATGTATCCAGACTAGTAGGCCGGATCGCCACAGTGCTCCCAATACTCCACCCTTAGTCCAAAGGACTAGGGCTATCAGGG